GTGCCGTGTGGCCGTGACTGTTTTCTGCTATTATTCCCCTGAACTTCTGATGATTACTGTTGGTCTGCTTACTATCCATTAAAGACTATCAGTTGACCGCATCCTCGCTGTTGGGTCCTTTTTCCATCCAAACGTTACAGGTCCGGTCACAGGGGGGCGATCGAGACATTTTGGCTTCACTTTTGAGGGCTTGTGCGGCACGCTTGGTCTGAATGGGTTAAACTTCATCACGCTGAACAGGTAAACTCATCTACTACTCACTAGTCCCGCATCAACAGCCTTATTGTGTTTATAGCCATGCTCTAAAGTGATCCATATGTGTCTCCATCCATTTACGTTTCTTTCCATGTGATGAAGTAAATATCCTTCTTTCTGGTGTTAATGGCTGAAGTATACTACTGGCTACAGGGATCAGCTTATTTTCTCCCTGGCGCATCAGCACACACAATGGCTGCAAATAAGTTTTTCACTGTGCGATGCAACTCTTAGACTAATGAATCCGACGTTCCTGAGAATGTGCCACAAATCCTCGACAACCGACTTCCAATGGGTGAACCAGACTCCCCATCCTCGCTGTTCCGCTTCAGTGGCTAGTTGAGCATACCGCAGTTTCTTCCTCTAATACGCCTCATCTACAGCCTCCTCCCATGGCACTGTTAACTGTGAACAAGTGCCACAAGACAATATCTGGTCGGAGATTAATGGTGGCAATCTCAAGTGGAAAATTGGAAAAGCCATTGATCAACATCTGCCAGCATTTTCCAGTCTCTAGCAGCTTCCAGTTGTCCTGGGCAAGGATTGGATTTTTACACCTTTTCCTAGTTGCTCTCCTGGGCAGAGGAATGTTTTCTCTTGTGTGTAATGTTTTGATAGAATAGGTGGCAACTCATTGGTCATGTTACACTTGTCTTTCAAGCCAAACATCACAGCACCTGGTCATGGCGCCAAGAAATCCATCCTTGGCTAAGAGCCACCTTACACCCTGTCAAAATGTGCCTTAATGTTGTAGTTGACAAACACAAAAGACATGAGGGATCCTCTCCTAGAGGTTTAGGTTCTGTGGTGATGGGAGAACATCATATGTTGACCTGATGAGGAAACTGCTCCTACTCTGGGGTGCATTTCCCATATAGATTAGGTCAGCCGGAACTTGGAACACTTCCCATAAATCCTGATGTACTCGTTAAATCATAAGAAGAATGGCATCTATGTTAAAATTAGTGTCTCTGTTTATCCCGAGGTTTACTGCAGCCTAGTATCCAGGCCAGTATCTAGTCCCCTCCTGTGAAGGCCTCCTTCCCTTTACCTCTGTACAGATAATTGTTATCGGGATAATTACGGTTCACGTGGCTATGCCGAAGCGATAACATTCTCTATTATAAATTTTAAGGCCAGCCAAGTAGTTTGTTGAGGGTTGTTTATTTTTAGGGAAGGACTACATGCCTGCGCACATATATTCAAACGCGCCATACCTAGAATGAACTCTTAGCGCATGTGCATGCATCAGCGCTCTCACAGGTTCGCGTTTTAAAGTTTGCGTAGAGAGAACTTAAAGGGCATCTATTATGGAAAATTCACTTTTACATGGTGTTTGAACATAAATGTGTGTTGGCAGTGTGTGAGCAAAACCACCCTAAAACGATAAAAATCCACCCAATTTTTTTATACTCTCTCAATAAATCATATCCACTGTCTCAGAACGAGCTGTTCTAAGATTCAGCGCTTTGTGACGTAAAATTGAGCAAGGGGTTTGATTGACAGTGTGGATGTGGAAGAGACCCCGCCCTCGGTGATCTGTACACCATCCTCCATTGTTTCAACGACAGCGGTAATGTCTCTTGGAAACATAAGAGTTCTGTCGTGGGTTAATCCTGTTGTTGTGGCTTAAAAGTTAATCCTCAACTGTGGATCGTCATCTACTGTTTGCGATCCACCGACACCTCCAGTAACAGTAAGTGCAGTAAGTGTATTTTATGATTTTTGAGCAAATATTCTTTTCAGTCGATGTCAGACAATTCAACAACAAATGCATCTAAAGTTGTTGTCGTCGTCGTCGTAGGATGTCTGTGTATAAAATTTAAACCTTGTTTGTATAGTGTGTAACCACACGTTTATATATGAAGAGTTCAGATGCAAAAGCCTCTAAATGCCATTTGAAATTTTCTTCTTTAATGATGATTTTTATCAAACTTGTATATTTAAGTTCAGTAATTTCATTTAAACAACAATTAATAGGTAATTATCATTGCCATTTAAGTGAAATCACTGAACTATAATATATATATATATATATATTAGGGGTGGCACGGTTCACAAAACCGACGATTCGGTTTGTATCACGGTTTTAGGGTCACGGTTTTCGGTTCTGTACGGTTCTTGTTATTTGTTTCTTTTAATCTTTAACACTCCAGAAATGTACTTCAGCATGTGATATATAGCTTAATTATCCACACTTTAGGATACAGTATTACAAAAATTATATTTATGCAATCATGCACAAACTGAATTTAACTCTTTGACTTTAAGCACATTTTGGGACTATCTCAGAGGAAAGCTAGGTGAGATTTTGACACAGCAAGAGAGAAGACATTGACATGCTTTTCGTTTATTTGGCAAAAAAAGGAGAATGTGTATCACTATTTCTACAAGAACTTGTGCATTTTTATCACACAAATCTTATTTACACAAAGAAATTAACTTGCATTTATCAACTGGCAACTTTTGTAGCTCTTACAAAAATTCTTTCTTTTAAAAGAAAAAAAGATTAACTCTTAAAACACTGTCTTTTATGAATAAGTCAATATACATGAAACTTCATTGCTTATAATTAGGCTATAGCAATAGCAAAGGCCATAAACATAAAGTGAAACATAAGTTCAACCTCAACACAAAAGACAGTATCAACAATGCTTCTATTCCCTAAGAGTGAGGGTACTTTTTTTTACTTGAAATGAAAGTGCAGGATTTGGAAACATTTGACTGAAGCTCTTATCTAAACATAAAGTGCCACTGTAGCGTTATATTAAAATATCATAACATGAAATCCAAAATGTTCCCACACACTGGACTCAAACACAAGGAGAGTCTCCTCATGAAATACCTACGACTGGCAGATGAACGTGCTCCATAGAATGGAGTATTTTAACTGTGACAAGATGATTGACAGGGCAGTTTACAGTGACAGGATGCACACAGCACGCGACAGAGCTGTCCGTTAAAGATGACGTGCTAGTATGTCCCAAAGCTTGCCTACTGTTTTGCTACACACTCAAAAGTATGTACTTTTTCTTCACAAAAAGAGCACATACTTTTGGGCGTAGTATTAGTAAGCGAATTGGGACGCAGCAACTGTCATGAATTCAATATCCCATCATGCCTCTTACCTGGGACTGATTGCCCTACACACCTGCACTGCACTGATTGCACACACACCTGCACCTCATTCACACACACACACACACACACACATAAAAGCCACTTCCACGCCCCACTGCTCTGTGAAGTATTGCCATGCCCTGGCTTTCAATTCGAAGCATTTATCTGTGTGTTTCTGTTTGATTACTGAATTAGGACTGTGTACCCCGACCTGAGCTCTGATCGTTCTCTGTCTGCTTTGACCTGGATTGCTTATTGGACTTTGCCTATTACTCTCTACTCTGACTTCTGTCTGTGACCTCATTCTGCTCTGTGTTCTCTCCGTTGATCTATTTGCTGTTGTTTTACCCTGCCTGTTGACCATTCTAATAAAAGCTGCAAATGGATCCCTCAGCATCTGTGACTCCATTACAACATTGTTAAAAGCACTATATAAATGAAGATGACTTGACTTGATATAAATGACAGACATGGCATCTGAGGAGTATTCATTTTTTCTCAATTTCGCTTTATTTCCAGATTCAATGATCGACTTCTTACATTGTAGCTAGAGCACGTTCACACATGCGCAGTCTTCAAAACGGTGTTGTAAATCTCGTAACAAACTCAAGGATGTAAATGATTTGTATATTATAAATAAAAGACACAGATGGTCTCACTCTGAAATCTGATTCTAATTATCAAACGCATGTACACACGCACGTCACTGTATAGTGGGTAATGAAGCGGGAATCTGCGGAATCAGACGCTTCAAATAGCACCAACTGCAATGTTTAATTTTAAATGAATATTACTGGCAGTCTGGCACACGTGGGTGGGTGCTCGTTATTTTCGAGCGCCTATATCGGCGCCTATGGATGGTACTGAATGTCAGCTTGCTTATTTTGCTCAAGATAAGGATTTAATAAGTCCACATGCCATGCAATGTAGAAACTATGCTTCTAACCACAGCTCGAGAAACAGGGAGAATGATTAATTTGGGAGTGTGTGGATCAATTCAAGATTGGCTGGCAAGACCTATTGTCAATGAAACAGGGGTGCATTTCCCGAAAGCATCGTTAGCCAACTATGGTCGCAAGTTCCGTTATCACCATAGTTCAACGAGTTGATGTTACCTGAAATCATCGTTGTTACCCGAAATCATGGAAATAAGCAAAAATGCTGTCAGTGTCTGGCAACTTAAAGGGGTCATCAGATGCAAAATTCTATTTTACATAGTTTGCATGCAAATGTGTCTTTGCAGTCTGTAGACACAACCACCCAACAATGAAAAAATCTATTTCCTCTTTTTTATCCTCAAAAAGCCTAAACACTCTCAATAATCAAGCCGTTTGGATTTTCTGAGCAACATGATGTCATTGCTCATGCTCTGTCCCTGACCACTGATGGACTGTCCAGTATTAGCATATTTCCGCCCTCAGCCATTTGTATTCTGTCTGCCAAGGCCGTCTTGTGTCGGCACCCACCAAGGAAAAGATGGCTGGGGTGAGCAGTTGCTCATAATCATACTCTACCCTAGTTCTCAATTAATTATCACAGATTATAGAACATGATACACTAACTTTAAACAAACATAACAGGAACTATCATGCCAGCATAGTTTAAGAAAAGACAAACAAACTTACCCATGGATGGATCCAGGTTTTTTGGTCCTTTCCAGCTCAATGAGACAGTTTTCCCAGTCACACATCCAATTAGTGGAGGACCATCAGGAGGCTCGGGAAGGCTAACTGTCATGAAGCTACAATGTTAGTGAGGCAAACACATGAATATTACAATACTATTATATATGAGAGGAAGTTCCATCTTACCTGCAACATATAGATGAGCATAGCAGGCAGCCTTCCCCACTTTATTGGAGATGATACATTTATACACACCACTGTGGCCATGACACACAGAATTAATGACCAGACTGTGAACATCCCTGTCTAGAAGAGGTACATGATAGGATATGATTAAAGATGACGTATTCGGGAGACAATAAATGTAGTAAACGAATAAGAACCTCCCAGTTAGAACTATGGCCACTAATATCCTTTAAAGGTCCCCTGACATGAAATTTTCATTTTCTGAGGTTTTTTAACATTAATATGAGTTCCCCTAGACTGTATTTGGTCCCCTCGTGTCTAGAATTTTTAATCGGTGTAAACTGAGCTTTGGCTATTTTTCTCTTCTCTGCATCCGTCTGCATCTCAGACGCGCTGATCTGGAATCTCCCCCGTCATATAGGAGAAAGGTTACTCCCCTTTCTCTGCTTTGCCCGCCCAGAGAATTTGCCCCGACGATGAGAAAATGAGCTAGGAACAGGAAGTACGAACACGCCCAGGCGCGATTTTATTTTTTCCTAGAGAAATAGCTTTGAGATTTGAGTTTTTCCTCGAGAAATATCATGGCTTGCAAACGAGCGAAGCATGGCAGTTGCTCAGTGTTCGGATGTACAAATGAACGCAAAAGTATTTTTTAGTTCCTTCATCCGAGCCTCTGAAGAAACAATGGGTTAATTTTATTTACTCTGGAAATGAGCCGACTCAACTCCCAGAAGTTTTGTATGGTCCAAACGGGCAGAAGACAGGTAAGTTAATATTTCTCTCAAAATCGTTCGATACTGTTTATGCATCAGTAAGTCAAGCCAGACTATTATCAACTTCACGTCGTTTCTTTGAGTAGGATGAAAATAATCTTATTTAAAGAAAGTGTTTAGCAGGATGATATTCAATACGGTAAGCATGCGCTGCTTTGTTTACGTTATGTGTATCTGCAGCCGGCAGCGTCGGTTTTCCTTTTTGAATGACGAATATAGACTAATATATCTAGACCATTGGCTTATTAAACGCAGGTGCAGAACGCACATTTAGCTGACAGTCGCCTGTCGTTCTCCCAATGTGTTCAAGTGCAGCTTTTTATCTCGACGAGAGCGGACGGGTTTCGGGCTTGTATCGGGCAGATGTAATATGTGTTTGTGGCTAGAATTTTCACGTGATGAAATACAGAGATCTGACAATGGCACTCAAACATTTCATTAGTCCAGTGGCAGAACTTTTGCCAAGCGTGACAGAGGTTCTGGGTTCTAATCCGCACTCATATCATTTTTCTTCTATCTCTGATTAAAACCGATTATGTTTATCAGTTGTATGTTTGTGTGCATTTTACTTTGTGATTTCACCGGATCGAATATAGAGTCTCCACAACGGATTAAAGCGCGAGTCCGTGTGAAGACTGTGTGTGACAGCGCGAGCCACAAGAGAACTGTATCCACGCTACTGATCGCAGCGGCAACGAGCACTTTGATCACTCGTTTTCAAAAGCAACACATTTCAGTGCTAGATCGCCTCTTATTTAAAGAAACGAACTAAATGAATGCTTTGCTAGTTAACTAGAGATTGTTTATTTATTAGTATAATTTACATCTGTGCCGCGAGAGATGTTTCAAAAGTGGTTGGGACAATATCGACCCTGGCTAAAAGTGGTGGGGACATGTCCCACCCCTCCCACCCGCAAATTACGCCTATGCGATTCAGTAATCTTGATATCTGTAATAGTAAAAATGTATAATAGCTGTAGTACGTTTTCAAGAGAGTTTCACATGTAACATGTAGCTATTTCATATGCAAGCATGTCAGCCAATCGCAGCCAGTGGTGGAGGAAGTACTGAATCTCAGTACTTAAGTAAAAGTACAAATACCCAGATAAATATTTACTTTAGTAAAAGTAGAAGTAACACAATGACAACCATACTTAAGTAAAAAGTAAAAAGTACTTTATTTTAAATGTACTTTAAGTATTAAAAGTAAAAGTACTTGCATAACAATTTATTATCTTAATGTCTATTTTCTAATGATTAATAAAACATTTAATTCTAACTCATTCAACCTAATAGCCTTCTCGTATAATGATGTTCAATAATGATGGAAAAAATTTCACCATTTCTGAAACAAGCTTGCAATTAGACAATATCATGCTTATCCTTACTATTGGCAGTAAACGCGATTCATTTATGGTGTAATTCTGAACCTCTTGGCTTGCCATAATCCTAACCAAACCAAACATATATTACACACGGTGTGTTTCCTATGCACGTAAAAACAAATTTTCGCGTATGAGTTGCATGATAAACACACTGCGTGTGAGGCGCATTTAGTGTGACCGGGTTGGTATACTGTATCTATGGCAACCAAACGTCACTGGTGAGACAAACGTGCAACGAACGGACGGTCAGATTACGTTTTGGCAGGGGAAAAACTGATCAGGAAATGTAACGAAAATGTAACAGAAGTTGTAGAAATGTAGTGGAGTAGAAAGTATAATAATTGCTGCAAAATGTAACGAAGTAAAAGTAAAAAGTAGGCACTATTTATTCTACTTAAGTAAAGTAAAGATACGTGAAAAATGTACTTAAGTAAAGTAACGAAGTATTTGTACTTCGTTACATTCCACCACTGATCGCAGCAGTGGGCGGTTACATTGAATCCCACAGCAGACACGCCCCTTCAAACAGACCGTTCTAAGCAGAGGCTAAAATCAGGCTAGGAAAAATGCCTTTTATTTCTAAATTATGACTATTTTTGATCTAAAAAAACATACTAACATTATAAGGGCAACCCAGGAAACATTATAAAATAATACAAAAAACCCATGTCGGGGGACCTTTAAACTGCTTTTGACAAGTTTTTTTTGTGGACTTACACTGTATCATCTTTACTTCATCTGTGCTCTCTATCATCTTGCCATTGTGGAACCAAATGATTTTGGGGTATGGCATGCCTGTTACCCTGCACTTCAATACTGCTTCTTTCCCTTCAACTACTTCCAGGTCACTGAGAGGTTTTATGAAGTCTGGCATTGTCTTGAGTTCCAACTCTCCCTCAGACACCTCAGGCTCCTCAGGGATTGATGGCATCTTTTCTAACCTGGACCTGAGCGCAAAATGAACGAACAAATGAGACAGAAAAAGAATAAAGAATGTTAATTATTCATTGATAAGAAAAGTTGATCTTCTTACATGTGAGTACATATGGCAGGTCGAGGTTCCTGCACATGGAGTTCAGCAGAGCTCTCCGCTTGTCCATGAACATTTCGAGCAATTACTGTGTAAAATCCCTCACTCTCCTTGTTAACATTAGTGATGAGCAAAGAGTGATGCCCATTTACTCGGAGAATGCGAATATTATCAGTCTCCACCACAGGTTGTTCTAGGACACAAAATATGTATTTGTAATCAGTGTTGACAAATGTTTTTGTTGCTTTTGTTCCAGAGCAGTTATTTCAGAAAGAAAAAAAAACTCTTTTAAAAACTCTTTATTTTACCACAATGAGTCCAGGTCACTTCAGGAGGGGGAAATCCACTGACTTTGCAATCAAATTGTGCAGACCAGCCCTCAGTAGCCTCCAGTACCTCCAGTTTCCGTGTAAAGAGTGGCTCCTTAGATGGAATCACCAGAAGATTAGCTGTACAAGAGAGATTTTCTGTACCATACACATAAGAAAAATAAGCACTGTTAATATCAATCAGAAGTTATCCAAGCAAATACTGGAAAACAATATTAATTATATTATATTATATATAGCCTATTACTGATGCATATATGCAACATGACATCATGACTTTTGCGTAAACATATACGCCACTTTCGAGTCAGGTGGCGGGTTATTTCTACGCATTTTGAGCTATCCGCGTGTATGCGTGTATGTCTACGCCATTAACGTCCGTGTCATTCCGCGTGTCTGTACACGCAGTCAAATCTCCAGTCATAAATGCCATTAACCCCAGTGACGGTTAAGTTTAGGGATGGGGTTGAGGTAAGTCATATCTTTTTTTTACCTATGGATGGTAAGGGAACAGTCATAAATGCCATTAACCCCAGTGACGGTTAGGTTTAGGGACGGGGTTGAGGTAAGTCATATATTTATATAACGTTAAGTCAACGGCGTTCATAAACACGCTGAAAGGCGATTATGCGTCTTGATAGCACGCCAAAAATGGAAATACGAATTGGCGTGGCATACACACGCTACTTCATGAGATCAGTCTGCATATATGATGTAACACAGCTATGCTCACTATTCACAGTTGGTATGATTCCTACCTTTTGCTGAACTGACTTTGCAAGTATAGCTTCCACTGTAGTCTTCATGTGCAGATTTAAACAGAAGATGGCATCGATGTCCATCAAACTGCATCTTACAATCAAATAGTGCTGGCTGTATCAACTTCCCATTGGCTAGCCAATCAACATCCAAAGCCTGTGGCCCAGTTACGCAACATTCAAACAAGGCTATCTCTCCTGCCTTGACTTTCACATCCTGCATAGGTCTGACAATGGTCAGAGATGACTCAGCAGTAGCTGCTAGGCAGAAAAGAACAGTTACAATTCATGATCAATCTGAAGTTCAAGCCTCAGCTTGAATTAGAATTACTTGCAGAAATATCAACATTTATTGACAATATTAAAAGCATGTGATTTGTTCCAGAATTTTCTCTTTGTTATGCTGGTTGAAAGTCTCTTCTGATCCTGACAGAAATCAAGTAGTCTAAATGTAATGTATGTATGGTCTGTGGAAGGTGTAGGACCATAAAATGTTCATGTAATCATTGCTCTAATTCCAAAAGGACAACAATGTCCTCCCTGCCTGTCAACGTATATATTTCTCACCTTCGCGAACCCTGCTTTCTTTCACAGTGTCACAAGTCAGCTGTGTCTTTGATGCTATCTAGAGTTAGACAGATGTTAGTTACTGAGCACCACAAACCAAAACTTTTACAGTTCCTCCTGAACCAAAACATTGCGCTAATGCTGCATTTATAACTCAGATTTATGCGTTTCAATGGCAGTACTGTCAATGGAGAAATGAATCTGCAGCAGTCAGGTGATACAGGTCAGTGCTCTTTTAAGGTGTTTATGTTCATTATTATTGTAATGTTATGTGCTTTGAGACATGAGGAAGTTCGTGTTTTGGAGGAGGCGTGGTTTTTAAAACGCTCTGAAGGGAGGGTGGGATATTGTGCTTTCAAAGTTAGCTCGCTTTTGCTAGCCTCTCCGAAAACCACATACCCTACCTTTAAGATGCAGTGAATTTGTGAATTCACTGCATCTTAAATTTATTTTGTGATTGTAGTGAATTTATTTTGTGATTGTAGTCTATTCAACTACAAATCAACAGATACAGTAACAGACATTCTGTCACCTTGTGAGTATTAGCTAGAGTATTAGAGATGTAGTTTTATGTATACCATAGTTGTAGGTGTATCATGTGATTAAACTTTTCACTGTACTTATTATGCAGATAATTTTCAAAAATAATTAATTGGTCTTAAAATTGGTCCTATTATTGGGGGAAAAATCTTGATGCAGATATTATTACTATATTTATTTTGCTATCAACATCATCACAATAAAATGCATTGTTTTACTTAATGTTAGTAATTTAATTCCACCCACTCTTACTTTCACAGTTCATTACTGCACTTGTGTTTTTATTTCCTACCATTAATGTTGTAATAACAGTGTAATGGTTGGCAACAGAAGAGAAAAACTGCAGAGGATTTTGGCCAGTGAACAAAAGCAGATGGCACAGAGTGAGATAACTGACCACAGCTGGGGAGATAATAGATTTACCACGTGGTCCCTGATCCAATAAATTTGTTTCCACTGATGAAAAGGCAATGGCCTCAGCATGGAACAGACACTGTGGCTTCATGGAAAATTCCAGGAACATTGCTTTGTTGAAAGGTGTCACAGCATTTAAGCAGAAGTAAACTTGTCCTGACAATTCTCTAAACAAATGTATATGTCCTGTTTTAAAAGTTAAGCTCACCATCACTTATTTTTTTTCAAATCCTCAATTTCCTTTGCATTGTTATAAAGTTCCCCTTCAGGGACTACCGCTGCGTGTAATCGCAGTGGGAACGCCCCCCAGTCAATGGAGAGATGGAGTGTCACAGCGAGTGACGTCATCGACCAGGAAGCTATAAATATCCCCTGAATACACGAGCCGCCAGCTTCTGTTACTTCAGCAAGCTCTCTGTGTGTGTCTGAAATCTTTTGATTGTGTTTGTCTGTTCTGTCAGGAGTTCATCACTATATATATTTATTTATCTATTAAAAAAACAATATGAACGAGCATTATAGGAAGTGTATTCCCCCCTGTACACAATACATTACAGGTGGGGATCCACACGAGCTATGTGTGGCTTGTTTGGGAGTGCAGCATGCCCAGTCGGCTCTTGAGGGAGTCGATTGTGAGCATTGCGAGCGCTTTCCTCTGAGAACTCTGCGCTCATGGCGATCGCTCTTCGAGGAGAGCGGTATGCTGCGAGCTCCCCAAGGCTCAGGTCCCGCTTCTGTTGAGGCAGAGCGGCGGCGCTTGTCTTGGGGTTTGCAGATGGATCTCACGACGTTGAGACGGGCCCCACCCTATCTCAGCTTTCTCCGGCGGGATCCAGTGCCTCTCACCTGGCTCTGGAAGCACGCGCTGCGGCGGTTACTTCTGCCTGGGTGGAGGCACATGATGATGTTGAATTGAGATTATCCAGTTCTGAGGAGCTGGATGTCGAAAGTTTTGCATCAGAGGAAACTAGTTTGTCAGATTATACTGCAAATGAAGAAAGTTTGATGGATGTGTTATCTCGTGCTGTTGAAAAGCTCAGTATTGAATGGCCAACTGATCTGTTTGCATACAATGGCCATTATGCAGGCTTATCAGGCCGACCTGCTTAAAGATGTGTGTGAGGGGGGAGAAATTTCGGCAGATATGATTACTGAGCTCAGGCAGACTGCTGATCTCACTCTCCGGGCCACCAGAGAGACCGCTAAATCTATTGGCCGGTCTATGGCAGTCATGGTGGCCACAGAAAGGCACTTTCAGTATGGTTGAGTCAGACCTCGATGAAAGAAAAAGACAAGACTCATTCTTTTAAATGCTCCTGTTTCACCTGCAGGCCTCTTCGGTGACTCTATTCACTCTGTCACGGAGTTTCCAGAAAAAGAAAAAAACAGGAGGCTGCCTTTCATAAGTTCATCCCTCTCAAAGTGTGTGTCACTGGCATGGCCGTGGGAACATATTTTATCATGGGGGTGCTGGGGGCGGGGCTTAATGGGCGTGGCTTGACAGAGTCGGCGCCAGAGCAGATCTACTGGAGGGGCATTGGGTCATCAGGGGGTTTGCACTGCCGTTTGAGAAATATTTTGACGCAAAAAAAAACAAAAAAACAAACAAACCAGAAACACCTTTTACTACTATCATAATTATTAATAATTATTATTTGGGAATTTCTCCACCACTTTTTGCCAGAGTCGATATTGTCCCCAGCACTTTTAAACATCTCGCGGCATGGATGTACCAATACAAATATATAAAACAAATCCGGTTAACTAGTCTAGCAGAACATTCATTTGTTAAATAAGAGGAGAAATAGCACGCTGAAATGTGTTATTTTTTAAAATCAAGTGATCATAGTAGGCTACTCGTTGACTCAGTGCTGTGCTGATAGTGTTCTCTTGTGGCTCGCGCTGCCACAAGGAACGTCTTCACACGGACACGAGCTTGATCAGTTGCGGAGAAATCTCTATTCGTACCGGTGAAACCACAAAGTAAAATGCATTCAAACATTTTGTCATGTCCCTGCTTGACAACAACTGATAAACATAATCGGTTTTAATGAGGGGGGAAAAAAACTATGCGAGTGTGGATAGAACTCAGAAACTCTTGCACGTTAGTCTAATGTTCTTCCACTTGACTTGACCATTACATTAACTACCATTACACCACATACAGGCGAATTTGGGGGAATGCAAGGTCTCGAGGTGCATTTTTGTTGAACTTATTTTAACTTGAGTGCCGCGGTTTGAGAATGAGGTTTCATTCGCGAGACGCGAGCGCAACAGTTGCGTGCGCGTTCACAGTGAAAAGCATTTGGAACAGTAGCAGAGGGTAATGGAAAAACTCGTTCTTTGTGAACAGCCCTTAATGCCAAAGAATGCTTTAATCAAGACATCTGTATTTAGTTTTTTCACATGCATAAAATGAGTGTCAAATCAATTTTGACATGCTGGACCTCAACCAGTGTCATGCCACTCACTCTATGCGAGATCGACTTTTGCCTTATGATAGGCAGCCTATAATTTCTATACAACTCTTCGACAACATATGGAAATGAAATAATCGTTAGAGTCGTTTTATAAAGGTAGAAGGTGTTCTTAAAAAACATGTTGAAAAACAAATTTATTTAAAGTCACGTCATATTAAATTTCAATGTAGTGAAACAGCTGTCGCCAGGGGGTGCTGCAGCACACTCAGCACCCCTACTTCCCACGGCCCTGGTCACTGGGGCTGCTGATGCAGTGTCATTGTGCCCTGGTTATGTGGAAAGATCCTTGTTTTCTGTCCCAAGGCCCTGTGTTGGAGCTCCTTGTCGTCGCGTTATGCTAACGACGGATGCCTCTCTCACGGGTTGGGGAGCGATCATGAGTTGTTGCCCGGCTCGGGGTCTGTGGAAAGACAATCACCGTCTATGGCACATAAATTGTCTAGAGATGTTGGCAGTGTTTCAGGCTCTGAAACACTTCCTCCCAGACCTAAGGGGCCACCATGTTCTTGTCCGAACAGAAAACACATCGGTGGTCTCTTATTAGGGCTGCAACTAACGATTATTTTGATAATCGATTAATCGGACGATTATTTTTTCGATTAATCGATTAATCGGATAAAAAATTTATTCCATTTTTTTGTTTATTATAACTAAATAAAACCCTAAAAACCACACTCTTTTGTGTGTTAAACAATCTTCTTAATACAGACAACTTCATTATATAGAAAAACAACAAATAAAAAAAATATATATGACCATAACCTATGACAAAAATGCTATTGTAAACTAGATTAGTGGATAACTCCGAAAAAACTTAGCCTAGAAAAATCACAAGTGCACAATAATTTTATAAAATCTGAACATTTAGTGAAAAAAACATTCCTTAGTGGGGAAAAAATAAGAGACAATAAGTGTAGCACTATCTCTGGTAAAACGTTACACATTGCTCTTTGTATTGTTGTTATACATTCATGAAAAACATCGTAAAAATCAGATGCACAGCTGTTTAGTGAGGAAGCAATATTGACTGTGTATTATACAGTATCTTTGCAATAGTTTATTAAGCCTTTTCTTTTAACAGTTTTAAATTTCAGTTAGGCTACTGTGCACGTGAAGAACAATTATAGTGCGCCGAGTCTACTCTAACAGACAGACACTCAGTAGAAAGTGATTAAGTTACAGCAATAAAAGTCTAGCAAGACCTTTATCTATGGATCAATTATAATAATAACATTGAATCATCTTGGAAAGAGTTTC